TAACACTGGCTAGGAGTTGGTTACGTAGTTCAAAATGGTGCTGTGTTTTAGGCAAGAAGACAGTTATTAAGATGATATATGAGTCTGATGCGGTGAATTACATAGACAGCTCAGTCATCAAGAAACAAGTATGACAAAGAAATTTACATCAATTGGCCAAAAACACTCGTTACTGAACTCTGCTGACACACACTCAATCTCTGGAATTTCACAGGTCACTGATTGGTGGTATTGTGGTCAGCTGGCCGGAAGCACGAAAGGATTTTGTGTCACCACTTAAAAAGCATGTTTCACAGTTTACCCCGCGTTAGGTTTTGGCCCGCTCTGGCCTACAAGTAGAACGTAGGTTACCTCAAAATTGTACCTAAGTACTTGAGTACATAGTTACTTTCCCCCACTGGTGCTGGGGGGAATTTGGACCCCTAAACTTTCTGGCTACGGCCCTGCAAGATTGTGAAATTAGATCATCAAGGTATCCACATCTGTGTTTGATTAGCTGCATAACAACAAACAGTTAGGTTTCCTTGTAGTTTCCAGATCAGGGGAGGTACTTCTGGTAACAGGTTGGTATTCATCTTGATATCCAGCCCTTCCCTTTATCCAAAAAAACAACGCAACAACTGCAGGTTACAATCAGCCACATTTTGTCCAATGGGGTTTAGTTTTTCCTGCTACTCTAACAGCCATTAACAGGTAAGTGTTTTTTTCATGTTTGAATCCGTTTGTAAAGGAAGCTAATCTGATTTTAGCCAATCGTTATCATGTAGTTATATGGTCCTGTACTGCTATATAGGTAAACTTACCTATTTAAGCCATACAGTGCTTTTCAAGTGTGTTAACGGGTTAATATTTAAAATCTAAACCCACTGTGATATGGCTTAACATCTTGGTAATAAAATGGACTTAATCAGATGGAGTGCAGGAGATTTTATATTAACATCGAGACAACTCGCGTAAAGACTGGAATTTCTCAATTGTGGGATCAATAAAGGTGTATCTTATCTTATCTTATCTTATCTTAAAATCCAAGATGGCGCACAGCTTCCTCTACTTACCAACGGCGGAGCTGCTCAGTGCTGCCAGTGGTGGCTGAAAACTATATTACTAATATAAAATTGTAATATATGACAAAAAAAAGCACTAGCGATTTTCAGATTTAATATTTTGTTTCAGTCAAACTGCTTAAAAGGTAAAAAAACGAACGTCGACGCTCAGTTAATGCAATATAGCTTCCGACCACCGGTAGCACTGAGCACAATACTGTTGAACGAGAACTGCAGTCAATGAGGGAGGAAGACAGTGAAAATATGCCACAGTTTGTCGAAATAAATCGTGTTTCTGTCTGGAGAAATTAACTTTCAACACTTTTCCATATGAGTTTCAAATGGTGACTTTTTCTCCTTCCACACGGACCGTACTACACTGGTCTGTGGCTGAATAAAACGTCACTAGCGTTAAGCTGCAGTGACTAACCACATATAACCCCTTTCACAAGCACCTTTAACATCCTGAACTCTAATGCAATTTAAGAGTAAATACCCTAAGTTAAAATAGAACCAACCAGTCATGCAATAAATCATGTTTTCATAGAGGTTATAATGTTAAAATAGAACCAACCAGTCATGCAATAAATCATGTTTTCATAGAGGTTATAATGTTCAGTTTTGTTTGAAGTGTTTTAGACAGCGCTTAAATAAACTTTATGGTCAGTTTGGAGGATGTAGTTTGTGGTGCAGATGAACTGTATTGCCTCAAACAGAGAGGCGTCAGTGTTATTTAGGTCATTGCTATTAATGGGGTGGACAAAATAATAAAAACACCTACACTTACCAAAAGTGTGACTGCTGCATAGACATTTAGGACTGTGCTTCCATAAAGTTTGGGGGACTCATTATAGACCTACCCCTGTGGTCATTTCACACACAAAACTGTCTCATTCACCCATCCTCATACAGGGAAAAGATACAACATCAATGCTGTTATTGAATGTGCTACTGCTAATGCCATGTCATTTATTGGTAAGACCAGTAGACCTTTAAAAACTGGTATTGCCAAGACAGTATTATCCGGCACAATTGTTACTGTTCACTGGCCTCTAGAGACTCTTTCTAAGGTCAGATAAATAGACAGAGGCGCCTCTAGTATTTTCATGAAGGCTATTGAGCCCGAGTCCTTGTGATGATACTAACTATTGGGGGTACACAATTTATTTATTTGTAAATATGTTTTTCTTCATGTACCTTTATTTCTATGTATGTACAGTACAGGCCAAAAGTTTGGACACACCTTCTCATTCAATGCGTTTTCTTTATTTTCATGACTATTTACATTGTAGATTCTCACTGAAGGCATCAAAACTATGAATGAACACATGTGGAGTTATGTACTTAACAAAAAAAGGTGAAATAACTGAAAACATGTTTTATATTCTAGTTTCTTCAAAATAGCCACCCTTTGCTCTGATTACTGCTTTGCACACTCTTGGCATTCTCTCCATGAGCTTCAAGAGGTAGTCACCTGAAATGGTTTTCCAACAGTCTTGAAGGAGTTCCCAGAGGTGTTTAGCACTTGTTGGCCCCTTTGCCTTCACTCTGCGGTCCAGCTCACCCCAAACCATCTGGATTGGGTTCAGGTCCGGTGACTGTGGAGGCCAGGTCATCTGCCGCAGCACTCCATCACTCTCCTTCTTGGTCAAATAGCCCTTACACAGCCTGGAGGTGTGTTTGGGGTCATTGTCCTGTTGAAAAATAAATGATCGTCCAACTAAACGCAAACCGGATGGGATGGTATGTCGCTGCAGGATGCTGTGGTAGCCATGCTGGTTCAGTGTGCCTTCAATTTTGAATAAATCCCCAACAGTGTCACCAGCAAAACACCCCCACACCATCACACCTCCTCCTCCATGCTTCACAGTGGGAACCAGGCATGTGGAATCCATCCGTTCACCTTTTCTGCGTCTCACAAAGACACGGTGGTTGGAACCAAAGATCTCAAATTTGGACTCATCAGACCAAAGCACAGATTTCCACTGGTCTAATGTCCATTCCTTGTGTTTCTTGGCCCAAACAAATCTCTTCTGCTTGTTGCCTCTCCTTAGCAGTGGTTTCCTAGCAGCTATTTGACCATGAAGGCCTGATTGGCGCAGTCTCCTCTTAACAGTTGTTCTAGAGATGGGTCTGCTGCTAGAACTCTGTGTGGCATTCATCTGGTCTCTGATCTGAGCTGCTGTTAACTTGCGATTTCTGAGGCTGGTGACTCGAATGAACTTATCCTCAGAAGCAGAGGTGACTCTTGGTCTTCCTTTCCTGGGTCGGTCCTCATGTGTGCCAGTTTCGTTGTAGCGCTTGATGGTTTTTGCGACTCCACTTGGGGACACATTTAAAGTTTTTGCAATTTTCCGGACTGACTGACCTTCATTTCTTAAAGTAATGATGGCCACTCGTTTTTCTTTAGTTAGCTGATTGGTTCTTGCCATAATATGAATTTTAACAGTTGTCCAATAGGGCTGTCGGCTGTGTATTAACCTGACTTCTGCACAACACAACTGATGGTCCCAACCCCATTGATAAAGCAAGAAATTCCACTAATTAACCCTGATAAGGCACACCTGTGAAGTGGAAACCATTTCAGGTGACTATCTCTTGAAGCTCATGGAGAGAATGCCAAGAGTGTGCAAAGCAGTAATCAGAGCAAAGGGTGGCTATTTTGAAGAAACTAGAATATAAAACATGTTTTCAGTTATTTCACCTTTTTTTGTTAAGTACATAACTCCACATGTGTTCATTCATAGTTTTGATGCCTTCAGTGAGAATCTACAATGTAAATAGTCATGAAAATAAAGAAAACGCATTGAATGAGAAGGTGTGTCCAAACTTTTGGCCTGTACTGTATATATACATATGCTCGCACTGTAATGCATTCTGCTGCTGGTGAGCAGTAACTGTGACATGTCAAGATGTGTTTTTTAGACCACATACAGTTTGTATGATGGCTATTTAACCAGATAACTTTGCAAAATAATATATGTGGGATATAAAATGTGCACATGCTGGTATTTTGCCCTGATATATCCATCAAAAGTATCCCTAGTACAATATTGGGCTACACGTGGGCAACAGATGTGGCATGTCACATGACTGGCTCACGCACTATGGGTATTTAAGATGGCGACTTTCTGTCATTTATCATAAGTCTGAGGAAGAGCTGTAGGCTCAAAATTTCACTCTGCATTAAATCCTTCTAAGCGAGAGCTGCTTGGTCCGCAGACTTGTTTTCTACTTTACCAGATGTTTCTTTGGTCTTGCTCCCACTCCATTGGACGTTAGGATGTGTGTGTCTTTTGTACTGTTTTGGACTTTCAAAAGGAGTTGTATCAATCACAGCAGCCGAGCTCATCATATCCTCATTTTCAGTTCCTAGTTTGGGTCAAGCTTAAAAAATGCTGAGTGTACAAATTCCAAAGATGCAGCTTAATAGCATATTTCATAAGATCCTTCCTGTCTGGTAAATACCAGTGTTGTTTATTTCTCCAGTTTATAATGAGGGCTTTCTGTTAGAGACTTTAAATGAAAACATTTAAACATGCAGCTGTTTCTACAGGATGCATAGTACTCCTCCTGCTGACTACACTGATCTGAATTTGTGGCGTGCCACTTTAACTTTGATAACAAACACACCTCTTCATATAAATCCACAAAGCATGAAGTATGATGCTGTAAAAAATCCCACACATGCATTAAAACAACACTACAGGAAGATGTGTCACACAGTTTTTCCTTTTTATATATATGTCTTTAATAGTTCTATCATTTATTATTCAAGATTTTACTACAGTGTTGTGGAAACTGTGCTGTACACGCCAAGTTTTGTAGCCCTAGGTGCAGGGCTTGGCAGTGAGCTTACCAGGAAACCACTCCCAGATTCACTACCAGAGCGGCAATTTCACACAGCCGTGGCTGAGGAGCAGAGAAGTGGAGAAAGAAGTTGCATGTGTGAAACAGTAGATCCTGGGGAATAGGAGACAAACCAGCACAAGTACTAAAGTGTGAAGATTCAACAAGTACATAAGGGTAAGGTTAAAGACTCAGCAACAGTACTCTAACCTGATTCAGCAAAGTTCCTGTACTCTCTCGTCTCCTTCAGTCCACAGGAGCAGGCAGGATGTCTATAACCATGGCTAAGGCTGATGGGGTCACTGTGTTCACTGTGACCTCGGACCCCCAAAGTGTCTATCCTCCACTGTGCCAAATCATCAAAGGCCTCTGCTACAACCCTGAGTGCTGCTCTGTGTCTCAGCGCCTGAGGAAAGTTCAGAGATCTTCTCAGTCAGTACTCGGGGTGAGTTACAACCTTTTATATGTTTTATGACCCCATGAACTTCAGCTTTTTTATGCTACAGTGCATTTTTATGATGTATTTTTCTTCCCCGACTTCATTCTGATTCAACTTTGAGTGAAAAAGTTTTTTTAGTGGAATGTTTCAGCTTAAAACAAATTGTTGACGTCTGACAAAAGCTGCAAGTTATTGTTGTAATCACATTACCGTCACATTGTTGTAAGTAAATGTTTCCATTACACTGTCACCACTATGTGCCCGCTCTGGCGATCTGTCCAGGTTGTACGCCACGCCCCTTGCTCAATGTCAGCCGGGATAGGCTCCAGCCCCCACAATCCCCAACAGGATAAACGGTTACGGAAAATGAATTAATGACTGAATAACCTTAAAGGGAAATTTCGGTTTATTTCAACCTGTCTCCTATCGTCCTAAATTTGTTTCAAGTGACTAGTGACATAGAAATAATAGTTAGCATGTTAGCTGTTAGCCTAGATACAGCCGGGGCGCATAGTAGTGTCAGACCTGTTAAAACGTAATTGAACGGGCATCCTTTCTAGTGCAAAGTTAGTCCACTAAACAAGCTTTTTTTCCACAAAGATCTCCTCATATCATTAGGATAAATGTCAGAGAACATATAGAAAATGACATGTAAACGTGTTGTCTTACCTTACCGGTGTGGTGCCATGTTTGTTTACCATTTAGCTCTGCTTTCCAAAGCGCGGCCAAAATATATCTCGCGAGCTCTAGATAAAGCCCAGCTGGATACTACTCCAGGTGGAGGTGTCTCGTCCTCGGTCACATCCAGACCTTGAAAATAAGGCTGCAACCGGTCCCATTCCTTGCAACAGAGGCATTCCTCTTCTGTGGGCACTGGGGCACAGCATTCACAGGTACACCACCAATCTCCAGAGCTATGCAGCCTTGTGGCAGCCATTCCTCCTCTCTCGTCCTCTACCTGTTGCGCCTCTCTCTCTCTCCTCCTCCGTTCTTCAATTTCACGAAGCACTTCGTCAGTGTTTTCTGGCTCAAATAAATAAGGGCGGCCATCAAACTCTGCAAAATCAAATTCCTCCTCAACAAAGTCGAAGTCTGGCAAAAAGTCAGCCATTATTCTATAAATCTTTCATAAAATGAATGAATTAACGTTTCAGGCTACTGTCCGGTTCTACATTCCAGCTGTTGCTGCTTGTTCAGGCACGCTATGAGATCGCTGCTTGTTCTCGCGATATTTCGGCCGCGCTTTGGAAAGCAGAGCTAGAGGGATAAACAAACATGGCACCACACCAGTAAGGTAAGACAACACGTTTACATGTCGTTTTCTATATGTTCTCTGACATTTATCCTAACAATATGAGGCGGTCTTTGTGGAAAAAAAGCTTGTTTAGTGGACTAACTTTGCACTTGAAAGGATGCCCGTTCACTTACGTTTTAACAGGTCTGACGCTACTATGCGCCCCGGCTGTATCTAGGCTAACGGCTAACATGCTAACTTTTATTTTTATGTCACTAGTCACTTGAAACAAATTTAGGATGATAGGAGACAGGTTGAAATAAACCGAAATTTCCCTTTAACAGTGTCATCTGGTAACTGTCGTTATACTGTACAGGTGTTTGTTGTTCATGCTGTGTTTCCTCCTCCACAGGCTCTGCACATCATGGTTGGGTTGTTCAACATCGGCCTTGGAGTGATCCTCTTTTGCAGCCACGGTGGCGCCTCGTATCAAATGTTTTCAACTGGGTTTCCTTTTTGGATCGGAGCATTGGTAAGGAAGCTAATGCTGTCATTTTTCTTTTATGTCATAACCAAAGTCCAACAGAATTTCTTTAATAAAGTCTCTCCCAAAGTTACAGTCTGGATACAAACTCTGAGCTCACTTTGAAATGTCAGATGGCATGAGATTTCCAGAGCCAATCCCAAGGATCAGTATCAGGTCTGATCCAAGCATATATTAATAAATTAAATCAGATAAAATACAGCCAAACAACGTTGTACTGTAGCTACTGTGTTTTGCCTACCTCAAAGAATCCCACCAAAACCTAACTGTTTTTTGTTATTGGACGGCTTAATCTCCTAGATTGTGATCTCGCCTGATATCAGACGGCATCGTCAATGTGTTACACTTTGTTTCCATCTTCAGTGTGCCATTGCCTCCTCTCTTACTGATTTCCATGGGGGAGGGGGGATTTGATTTCCTCTAACCAAAAACTAGAGACCAAACGTAGCTGCTTAACTGAAAACACACATTAAACACACATTAAACATGGCTTAATAGAGACAGTTTCAAACACAAGTGCACAAATCAGCTTCAGTATAACTCGCAGCATTCACAGACAAACACTTGTCTTTATCTGGACACATTTTCCCCACAAATACAACATGCTAACAATTTTAGCACAAGCCTATGGCATTATACATTTTATAAATTAGCCTATCAGCTAGCAATCTTTTCCTCTTCTCATATGAAACCAGGGACAACAGCAACATTTAACAAAGGTAACGGTGCATAATTCAGCTCCATTACAACTCACAAGATTCACCGACAAAACAACTGTCTTATACTAAACACGTTTTCCAAACAAATATAACATGCTAACATTATTAGCACAAGTCTATGGCATTTTACGTTGTATAAATTAGCCTAGCGACAAGCGGAGGTTTCCTCTGCTCATATGAAGCCAGGATAAATCACACACAAGACTTAATATGCTATTTTTGTGGAGGCTTTATACAGAAACAAACAGGAAGTCTGCATCTCCGTGACGTTGTTACAGGCTACAGTGTAGCTACGCCGTAGGCTCTACGTCGACATGGAGCCTACAGCGTCGATTTAATGCAGAAGTATAAATTTCCTTTCATGTGTAGCCATGCCAATGTAGTACTGGTTCTCTCAGGGTTTCAAGAGTGGAGCAGAGCAATGTAAAACAAACTACAATGCCAGGCGATAATTAAAAGACTTGTCGATTAAATACAGTCGCCATTGTTGTTATTACTCCTCATTGGTCCTGGCACACCCCTTGACAACAGCTTGACAATGGTGTCAGTTCTGCCCATGGTGCTACTTGGATCGATGGATGGTCAACAGAAAAAACGCTGTTTCATCACGATGCTAGTAGAATTGATCAACAGCTCAACTCAAATTAACTTTATTTATACAAACATACAGCCCAAAGTGCTTGTCTAGTTTCCCTCTTGGTGCTCAAAATGGTTCACTCAGTCAAAGATACTAGAAATAACATGCATATGAATTTAAGTGTTTGTGTGGAGGAATGGAAGTTTAAAGATTCTGTTTTTTGTCTTTTCTCTAGTGTATGTTGTTTGGCATCATCGGCATTGTGTCTGAGAAGTACCCCAGTCCATGTCTGGTGAGTAGTTCAGCTTTATCTTATCATCATCTTACTGTTTTATTTCAAGACAAACAAAATGTAAAGTCATGTATCGCTCAAGAATATTCACACCCACATTTTCTCACATTTTAATAGTTTGTGTTTTTTATCGGAGAGGGCAGAATATATCTTCAGTGTCTTGCTCCAAGGCACTTTGGCAGAGTTGCAGGGAGTTCTTAGAATAAATACTCGCCACCCAGCTGTCAAGGGTGAGATAGTCGATGGCTTTATAAACTACATGAGGATTTAACACATGGTGTGTTTTTGTGTCTTGTGTTTTAGGTCATCATCAATGTGATCCTGAATCTGACAGGAGTTGCTTTTGCCATTGCATCTATCGTACTCTACAGCAACAATATAACAAATATCGGTATGTGGTGGTTGCGTGAACTCAACATCTACCATATGGACTATTTGTTTGACGCACAGATTACAGATCTTTCTCCTGTGGAAAGGCAGATGAGGAAGGACTGCTTGGAAGCCAAAGAGCTGGCTCTAGTAAGTATGGAAAATATCATCTCAGCAGTGAAAACACAAGTTGTATCAGTGATGAGAGGAAAATAGGGGGCTTTGATTATTTTACAGTTATTGTAATGAAAGGGTTGGCATGGTGATGCAGTGGTTAGCATTGGAGTTTGCATGTTCCTCACGTGTCACCGTGGGTTTTCTCCAGCTTCCTCCCACAGTCCAAAGACATGCAGGTTAATTGGTGACTCTAAATTGTCCGTAGGTGTGAATGTGAGTGTTTATGGTTGTCTGTCTCTATGTGTCAGCCCTGTGATAGTCTGGTGACCTGTCCAGGGTGAACCCTGCCTCTCGCCCAGTGTCAGCTGGGATAGGCTCCATTTTTCTTCCTTTGGTGAGCTAGATAAGCTTAATTAGTGGCAGAGCGAAATAGATCTCAGTCAGAAATCTAAAAAAGAGCCACATTTTATGGAAGTAGGTCAAATAAGAACACATTTATTATATCTATATGAAACAAGCAAATCTGTTTAAGGATTAGAAAGTTCACACTGTCCGTTGTGTCCCACCAGATGCTCCTGAGAAGCATCAACGCGGTGCTGATCGTCCTGTCAGCTCTGGAGCTCTGCCTCGTCATCAGCTCTGCCGTCATGGGCATCAAGGCTCTGAGCAGCAGCGAGAAGGAAGAAGACAAGGTTTTCTTTCATCATTTCTTGTTTAAAATTTTACGTGTGAACAGGGTTATTAGGGCTATTAGAGCTCACATTTCTAACTTTGAGCAACCTTTCAAATTGTTGACGTAAAATCGTCTACTTACTGCACATCAGTTAAAGGAATAGTTCAACATTATGGGACAGAAGTGCTGGTTGATGGATTTGTTACCTTTTGAAGGAGCCAGGTTCGCTGTTTCCCCCTGTTTCCATTCTTTACACTAAGCCAATCACCTGCTGGCTGGAGCTTTATATTTTGCATGTAGACATGAAAGTGGTTTTGATCTCCTCATCGAATATAAAGTCGTTTATGACAAAATTACTTGACGACACTGACTCTTGTGAGGGAGAGACGCTGTGCTGCTGCCAGAGGAGCCGCTGAATTAGTTCCCTCTGAGCGGTAAGTCACTAAACGAGTCTGAGAAGTCCGGGGCTGTTCATAAAACATTCAGGACGCCACAGTTTATTCCACACAACTGAAGCTGCTCCTCTTTTTGGAACCACCTTGGAGTCGCTAATGATTTCACTTTCAGCCATGCTTGTTGTTGCCGTGGGTAACAGTATGACATCAATATGTCAACAAGTCTAAATGTTGCGAGTATCACACGCTAATTTTGTTGGAAAAAAATGTTTATGTCTTGGTGAAAAAGTGAATACACTTAATGTGAAAAATGTTAAACTGTTCCTTTAAGAATTTGTGGGTCAAGGAAACATATTTGATATACATATATATATATATATAATTATTCACCTGTGTATCCCCGCAAGAAACAGCACTGCGGCACAGTTCTTGAGTGTACGTAATGTACAGAGAGATATGTGCTATTTGAGTATGTCTGCACCATTTTTTTTCTCAACTTTACTGATATTATCTTTCTCATTTCAGATGATCGCTGACCCAGAAAACTACAAACCACTGCTGGTTGAAGTCACCAGTACACCTGTAGCCTAAATAAAAATCTCAGTTAGTAGGTACTATGATATATGTAATCTCAATGATTTACACATATTCAGCTGGTACAGTCTCTGTCCAACTTTGGGGTCATTTTCTACAAGGGTTGCTGAAAATAATTGCTCTTCTATATTAGAATATTTTTTATAATAATCTGCATTTGTTTATGCTGCTGTCAGTTTCACTCTGTTGATGTTTTTTTAAGCTCTTCCCATTGATTGTGATTTATTATCAAATATTATGCCTTATGGTCAGTATGTTTGTAGGTAAAAGGGAGGTTCGTGCATGTGTGTGAGGACACACATTGATGGACTGATGGGGTTTTTGTTTACTCTCCTCCTGAGACCCCAGCTTTTGTTTGGTATGCACTTTAGATGTCTTTTGTAACTCTATGGATTAGGAGTCACTGTTCAAAACTGTTCATTTCAATACCTGAACATGGCTGTGCAAACATTGCAAATAATGCAACATTTCTAAAAGGCTTGTGATTTGTTAATTTTGTAGCTCTGTTTGAATTTTCCATGCCAAATGTGTTGGATAGGTACGGAATTTGTCAATTGCATTCACTTGACAAATTAAAAAAAATCTGTTTTATTGAGTATTTTTTTCTGTTTTTCTGAGTAATTTTTTTTATTTTTCTGTTTTTCGGAGTAATTTTTTATTTTTCTGTTTTCGGTGTAATTTTTTTTCTGTTTTTCGTGGCACGTAGACTCATATGTTAAACTCAAACCTTACGGGATCTGCATCAGTGGTGCAATAGATGGGTTTTCACGGATGGTGATATGGCTACATGCATACTCTACAAACAGTGATCCCAAAATAATTGCTGGATACTTTATTGATGAGGTGTCATCAAGGAATGGAACTGCTACCCGAATTCGATCTTACGGTGCCTGCGTAAAGTTGACAAACTAATGATAACACCATCTATATGACTTTAAGACAAGAGTATCTCCCAGTGTCTCAAACCCAAAACAAATTAAAACTGGATTAAACTAAACAGGCGGGTCATGTTTGCTTCCATTATATTGAGCTCTCAAGAAAGGAATGAAAGCATCTGTTGTTCTATTGCTCTGTTAACTCATACATACTCAGAAAAACAGAAAAAATTACCACGCAAAAAAAATACCACGAAAAAAAGAAAAAATTACACCGAAACACAGAAAAATAAAAAAATTACTCAGAAAGACAGAAAAAAAATTCTCAATGAAACAGATTTTTTTTATTTGTCAAGTGAATGCAATACACTTCCGTAGATAGGTGTACACAGACCCTCCAATATTAACATCATTTCACCCAGACCATGTAACTGTAAAACTTTAAAACTTTGCTTTTGACTTTGAAAAAATAATGTACCACTAAATCCATGAAGGTATGTTTTAAATATATAATGTAGGAGTGTATTAGAACCAATAAAAACTATGAAACATCACGAATGCAATTTCTCTTAGGCTGGGCCCATTTTTGAGTTAGATTGACTGGACTAATATGAGTCTGGACAGACATGGATGTAAACTGTAACTGTAACCTGACTGATTTGTGGGCTTAAACAACTGTGAGGCGGTAACTCTCCTCTGAAATATAAAATAAAAATCACAGACGTGTCTCTCAGGTAAGGGTTAAGCGTCTGCTTCAGGATGAGGGGGAGGTGCTGCGCTGCCAATCTTTCCTCCTCCTCTTCCAGATATTAGGAACTGTACAATAAATCCTCAGGCAGATGTAGGTTTAGGTGAAGCTCAACCTGTCGGCACTGTCAGAAACAGGTAAGTCCATTAAAGACTACATTCTAATATTAATATTACAAGTTATTTTATTTTGTATTTTAAGTTTCAAAATGTTTCAGATTGAGAAAAGCGTGTTTATTTAATGATTAGGATACCTCAAACAGGATTTTACAATACTAAAACTGGATGTCGATCATTCACAAAATGTGTAAATAAAGAGAACGGGTAGATTTGATTTATTTTCTTATTTTTTTATTTATTACAACATTAATTATCTCAAACTATGTTCTCAGTGAGATAAGGGTGTTTGTAAAGCTTGAGAAAGGACCCAGACTTCAGTTTGTTGACAATATGTCATGCGTCATAACATTATCTTTCAGCCAGAGGAGTGATGGAGTGGGAAATGTTTTCCTGGCCTCGATTTACACTGTTACCTTTAAGAGCCAAATACATCATCAGTAACAGTTTACTACACAAGTGCTGAATTCTAGAGAGATTGGTTTACATATTATGACTTTCCTTGAAAAACATAGGAAGAGGGTGATGAGCAATGAAAGACAAAATGACCCAAAAAGTTAGCAAGAAATTGATAAAAAGAGAAAATTAAAAACAAGAAAATTAGTAAAAACAACAACAACAAACAAACAAGGAAATTACCTGGAAAAAGAGCTTGAAAATTATAATAATTCTGTAACATAACTTTAAACAATCGTGATAATTATAATATAGCTTGTCCCCAGCTTTTAAAAAAAATATTTTTGCAAATTTGTGGAACATTTATTCCCAAGTTGCTCATTGCCTTTTTTCCATGTTTTTGAAAGGCATTGCATCAATTTGCTCACACCTCAGCCCATCTCACTGGGGCTGTCACAGTTAACAACACAACAAATTAAAAATGTTGCATTTAAACAGATAATCTTAAATATTTAAAACACTTCCAGAATTCAGTAGGTTCCAAAAATGAAAGGAAGATGTGCATTATAAATTGTAGTTGCACTTATAATCTTCAGCGGTCGTGTGCTGTTGTTACAGCCTGGCTCAAGGGAAGGACGAAGAGGATGGAGAATACACAAACGGGTGGAGGTCAAACATGAAAGAAATTACTAAATAATGTTATTTTACAGAACAAATGAATGAGATATGGACAATCAGTAACATCAGCGGTGTGTGCGAGTGTCAGGGTGAGAGGAAAATGCTGCACACTGACAGGAAAGACAAGACAAATCAATCAAGCCAAAGGACGAGATTGAAGCAAACTGAGCTGCCCAGCTTCGTAGGCTTGCAAGCTCATCAGCCAGGACCAGGTGAGCCAGCTTCCTAATCATCTGCACTGCCAGCCCACTACCTGCAAGGGGAGGAGAAGGCACAAGCAGGCCAGGAAGAGTGGAGACACAGGAGGGGTCGTCTTGTCACACTCAATAATCACTACAGAACTGAGGCATTTCAAAATATGTATAACTTGATATTTTGCCAGCAGGCGGAAAAGAAAAGAAAAATAAGCTCTTACCAAAAGTTTTATCAGTTTACCGAAAGTTTCAGATAAGATAAGATTGGATTATCTGGGTGGGAGCCATTTGTTAAGATTTGTGGTTTACCCTAATTTACTTATCAGATAAAAATCTGCTATGCAAGAGAGCACAAGTCTGTAGTGCAGTATGGAAGGATCAGGAAAAGTACAAGTATCACTGCTCTGCGCTCTCATTTCAATCAGGAGACAGAAGGATGATGTACAGATACTATTTAATACAGAATATGAGTGTATAGATGAACAGATGATTTGTGCTGATTAAGATTTAACAAAAGTCTTTAGCACTTGGACACCAGAGGGAGATATTTTGTGATCGAGGGACATCTGAGCAGCAGCAGGATGAATCCCCCCATGGAGTCCAGACACTGGTGGTGCTGGTGGCTGATGACTCTGAGGCTGCTGAGGCAGATGAGGCTGATGAATCCTTAAAGACTGGGTGGTGATGGGGAGGTGGAGGGTGTGCACGACTGCAGCAAGACAGAACTACGGCAGAGAAAGAACCGTATTTAAAATGAGACACAGAGACGGTGTGTCGCTCTCGCTGACACCTGGACATAGTGAGTGTGAAAGAAACTTAGAGCCTGAGCATGAAAAGTATTGTCTTCCTGACTGAACTTTCGCTAGAGCTTCATATGTTGGATGCTTTTATTTCTGATGAGTAATTATTTTTAAATGTATCCTACTGAGATGCTTCGACAGTTGTAGAAATCTAATCTTAATCTGTTTCCAGCCTCCAGAAGTGGGCAGGATGTCAATGACCTTGAACAAGGCTGATGGACGCACTGTCATCACTGTGACCTCTGATCCCAAATGTGCTTGGCCTCCTCTGTGTCAAATCCTCAAGGCCCATTACCACAACCCACTGTGCTGCTCTGTGTCCCAGCACCTGAGGAGGGTCCAGGGTACCTCTCAGTCAGCTCTGGGGGTCAGTGCTCGGCTTTCTGTTCCTAAAGATGTTTGGTGAAATTCAACTTTTGTTATTCCCTCTTAATCTAACTAAATCTGTAAATTATGTTTTTGGATTCACAGGCTACACAGATTATGGTTGCAGTTATCAACATCTACCTTGGGACCATCCTCATTAATAATGGTGCCAGCTCCTGGCAGTTGTTGGAGTACTGGTATCCCATTTGGTTTGGATTCTTGGTAATCATGCTTTTATTAGTTATTTTATTAGTTATTTTCATAAATCATGAGTACATTTCCTGGTCCTGAGCTGTCTGCACAGAGGATCTGGTATTAACAAGTTCCTGTGAAGTTCGGGAGATATACCAGCAGGGGTCGTCCCTTCACAAACAGTTAGGTGTTTCAGAGGGTTTGAATACTTGGTCACACACATGCTCACTTCTGAAATAATCCCAACTTGATTTATTCAGAGTTCCCATGGTCATGGAAAACCTGGAAAAGTCATGGAATTTTGTTGTGTGTGAAACTGTTGCTGTAATCTTTTGTGGGTAATTGTCCATGTAGTGTAACATAACGGAAAATTGTTTTTTGGTGTTACATTGCTCAATGTGTGGCAGTGTTTTGTTTACCATTCATTATGTTTCCTCATTTTTTCACATAGAATAGAGTTTGATATGTTTGAAAAAAGTGTGGCAAAAAAACCCCAAAGATGGGTCCTTGAAAGTCATGGAAAAGTTTGGAAATTTTGTCCATAAAAATGGGTGCGAAACCTGTTTATTGTGACAGTAAGGGTTAAAATCACAGAGCCTGAAAAACTGTACATTAGAGGTCTACTAGTCCACACCCATTGGTAGCTTTGTCACCTTCTACCTATGCCAGTCCTCACTATGTGTAGTTTCACATAGACTGACCACGTCAGTGAGTAGAAAAACGTGGGACAGACAGAATGACTGACTGACAGAATGACACACTGACAGTTTCCGTGATTATGTACAGCATACCATACCATGACTTAGTCATACCAAAAATTAGAGAAAAAATAACATTGGTCCACAGGGGGAGCCACAGCGATCTGTCGCATTTTAACCATTTTTAAGCATTTTTTCTGTTGTTATAGCGCCACCCAGTTGCCAATTAGAGTTAAATTTCTTCAGTCACCTTGAGGCGTCCTGTTCTACATATCTACCAAGTTTAGTAAAAATCTATATGGCGGTTAGGCCTAGATAAGAAATGAGCTCTCTAGCGTCCCCATTTTGTTTGATGGGGTCAATAATGGAGGGGTCCCCTCAGATTATGTGTGGTCATATGCCTACAAAGTTGCGTGGTGATTGGTGAAACCCTTGAGATGTTATACACCTTTATGTGATGAGCCACGCCCTC